AGCTTAGATATTAGGACTCATGAACACGTGACTTTTCTCTTCAGTAGATTAACAAAAACAGTAATAAACTACATTTTAAATTTACTTCCTTATGCCTCTTTCACTTATACGTCTCAATGACAAGTAAAAAGATGTCACATATCCATGAAGCAGGGAAAAAAAAAAAAAATTGTAAATCCCCCAGAGAGAGACAGAGTCAAATTGTTTCTACATTAGTATCACTCCTTTTGAAGGAGGTTTCCTACCGTGTATGATTCAGGGGAAAAAAAGCCCCATAACTATGACTCTGGAAATCAGCAGCAGGTCGAAGGAGGTGATTCTCCCCCTCTACTCTGCTCTCTTAAGACCCCACCAGGAATACTGTGTTCAGCTGTGGGGACCCCAACATAAAAAAGACCTGGACCTTTTGGAGAGAGTCCAGAGGAGAGCCATGAAATTGGTCAGAGGGCTGGAGCACCTCCCCTATGAGGACAGGCTGAAAGAATTGGGGTTGTTCAGCCTGGAGAAGAGAAGGCTCCGAGGAGACTTAATAGCAGCCTGCCAGTACTTGAAGGTACAGGAGAGATGGGGAGGCACTCTTTATCAGGGAGTGTAGTGAGAGGACAAGGGGTAACGGTTATAAGCTGAAAGAGGGTAGATTTAGGTCAGATACTAGGAGGAAATTTTTCACTGTGAGGGTGGTGAGACACTGGAACAGGTTGCCCAAGGAAGCTGTGGATGCCCCATCCCTGGAGGTGTTCAAGGCCAGGCTGGATGAGGCTTTGAGCAACCTGGGCTAGTGGGAGGTGTCCCTGCCCATGGCAGGGGGGGTGGAACTTGATGATCTTTAAAGGTCCTTTCCAACCCAAACCATTCTATGATTCCATATACATCAGAGAAAAAAAACCCTATACATATCCACGCACACAAAAAGCTTCTGATCTGTAAAATTCCACACCATCACACTTAGAAGTAGCTAAAATGCCTTCAAAGAAGTGAAGAAAGAAAATGAACCACCAAACAGGAACTTCCCATTTAAGAGTATCTTTCAACATTTGATTAAGAGCCCCGCTAAATGAATTCAAGGCCTCTCTCCACCAGAACAGTAAAAACTTCCAAACTTGATCACATCCTTTTCAAACACAGACTGCTTAAAACTTTCCATTTGATTCTTGACCCCACAAATAACCTGCTGTTACCAGCTGAATACAGGTATCTGCTTCCCTCATGCAGACCTTAGCACTCATCAGAAATTAACAAAAGACTTCGTAAAATAATATAATAAACAAAGCTTTATCCTTACAAGAGATAAGAGAAGCCAGTAACATCAGATCCCTTGTCTTTCAAATCATACAGCAAGACTGCTAGCGTTGTCTGGCTTTTTGAGGCAGTACTGTGATGGGTGTGCCCTTGGCTGGTGGACAAACCACACACCCACTCACCCAAACCACCTCGCCCCCCCCAACCTGAGGATAGGGAAGAGAATTAAAGGGGTAAAGGGAAAAAAGGACTCCTGGGTTGAGATAAGAACAATTTAACAACTAAACTACAATAATATTGAAAATAATAGGATATACAAATATACAAATGAGTGATAATCAGTGATACTGCCCCCCCACCCGATGACCAAGGCTCAGCCTGTTCCCAGATAACCATCCCAGAGCAGAGAGAGTCCCGAAACTGCGCTCACGGAACGGAGATAACAGTCCGAGGGTCCCACACCGAGAGCTGATCGGGGTGGGGGGGGTGGGAGGCCTTGGGAGAGCAACCACCTGGCGTGAGATGACCCAGAGCAAAAGAGATCCGGAACCAAAAAAGGCCGATCTTCCAGAGGGTCCTCACCTATATACTGGGCATGACGTGTATGTTATGGAATAGATTATTGGCCACTTTGGGTCTCAATGCCTAACTTAAGATCAAATCCCGGGCTAGTAACTGGGGTTGTGCTCCCTCCCAGCTTCTCCTGTTTGCAGACAGCCAGAGAAGCTGAAAGACCTTGGCAGCGCTTCAACATCACTTTTTATCAGCTTTCTTCTAAGCACAAATCCAAAACAGACTCTTGCTAGCTCTTATGAAGACAGTTAACTCTGTCTCAGCTTAACCCAGGACATTCTCCACCCTTTATTCCATACCATTCACATTATCACATGCCATACCATCACATAATCACAAGTAATATTAACTGTCAAGTAAAAAAAGAGTTTAAATGTATCAACAGCATTACAGGGGATGATAAGAACTGGATGCTGTGGAAAGATTTTTCACTGCATTTTATAAATATGTTATGATTAAGAAAAGGAAGAATAGCTAAAATCTGGGGAAGTATATTTAAAAAGAAATCTTGTATCTTGCGTAATGAGCTCTAGAAAATTAATTTGCAGTCTGAAGAACAGCAAGTCCAGATGAACGAAACACTAAAAACCACAAATTATTCAGGAATCAATATTTTTCTGTATCACTATCTGCAAAGTGTTTTAAGATGTTAATTAAGAGCCAAAATCTCTCTTCAAAGTAGGTACACAGTATTACTCTTGCTGTTCAACCATTACGATATTCTGCAAATTTACTATATGAAAGGCAGACTTCTCTTAGACAAAAAACAAAGAACAGGAGAGCTGTGAAAAAAAGTGCTCTTCAAGTGTCTGCACCTACTACATCTTTTTTTTATGAAGTAACATTAACACCTTATTCATACCTTGGTTATGCTAACTGTCTATAAGTGTGAGAAAGTAAAAGAAAATTCAGTATCTCTCCCAAAATAAAAGAGGAAATTTCCAAGATTTTTCATGAGTGCTTCACCCTATTCCATTAGCTTACTTCAGTGAGGTATGAAATGCAAAATGGACATGGTTCTACTTTTCTTCAATGCTGCATTTCACTGCTTACTTAAGTGACTTGAAAACCCAGCTATTGATAATGGACACACATCACATTTCTTCAGTCTCCCAGTTTTAACAACAGTCAACATTTGCCAGAAGTACTGGGCTCTGACACAAGAGATGGTCACAACACCTATGACTGCTCTGAACATCATCATTTGACTCATATTTCAACAAGGAAAACAGTTAAGAGTCTTTTTAAAATAACAAAAGCAATACATAAAAGGGTTTTAAAGGCTTCAGTTGCTTAATTTGGTTGCATTACTACTTGAAACAAGTTGACTGCTAAACTCAATATTCGTTATTAGTAGAAACCTATGCTGTGTGCTTTCTGGTCTATACGTTGCTATTTAAGAGTCATCAATAATCATTTAAGAATCAGATCTTGTTTTCTGCAGCAAGTTTATGCCTGATGATTCTAAATGAAGATGTGTGAAGTAAAAACAATAAAGCCTACTGCTCGAAAACTAGGTAAACTAAATCTAGAACACAAAGAAGCCAGAATAGAAAACATGTATATGAATAATTAGGTCTAGTACTGGAAATCAGAAGTCTCACAGAAATTTAGAGCGTTTGGATAGAAGATTAATTGAAAATCCTCTCTGGGAGAGAGCTTACTGAGATTGCTAGAATTAATATGCATAGTGTTATAAAGAATTGCTGTAACATAAAACTCCAATATAGGCCTTCTTGAGAAAAGGGTATAAAATTATTTGGTTTCACCATACTTTCTAGAACACACTTGAACTCAAAAAAAAGACACAAATTGAATAAATGGTTAACATTAAGTGGTACATTACATACATAAAATACTGGACTTGATAAGCCATCTCGTATCTTGCTGTTCAGGTATATAGGGAAAAAGAGTTACGTAAATTCTTTAAAATGTTTCACACTATTCCTTAAGGAAAAAAAAAAAAAAAACCACAATCAACTTAGGCTAGAGGAAGAAACTGGAAACTCTATTTTGGTTTTCTTTAAAAGGACACTTCAGACAAGTTTCTCAGATTTTTCTCTGAAACTAGCCCAAAAATTACTAGAGATGACTTAGGAATTATGTCCAGTAAGTCAACCACAGAATAAAAAGTAATCAAAAAAGAGTGTTTCTACTTAGTCAGTGTTCTTACTTAGCCAAAATGATCACGATAATCTTCAGTTTATAAAAGAGAAAAAGCTCTTTACTAATTCTCTTAATATCTTCTATAACTGTCTTCAAAAGTTAACGTAAGATTCATGAAAGGAATTTAAATTTTATCCCTTTTATTTCAATCCAAAAGAACTAGGAGAATCGAGCAATCCTGGAACCTTCTCTCTAACATAGCCACAAGGTTGAGCAGCACGAATTCACATCTCTATACTGTTGTCCATAGATGCACAAAGCCTGAAACTCACTACCTTATTCTTACATTCTTGGACTGTATTTCCATGAAAAAATGGACTCATATTTACTAGAATAAATAATATTTATTCCTATTGACAGCACAGATTTCTTGCTTGTCACAGAGAAAAAGTACTCCATTCCCCAAGTGACGCAAGTGGATTTTTCAAGCCTCATGACAGAAAATCTTCACATCTGCCTCACCTAGGAAATGCAGAGAGATTCTTCATCTCAACAGCTGTGCACTTAGGTTAGGTTACACAAGGAGAATTCCTACTGTTTCTGATGAGATATTTAGATAAGAATTTATAGTTCTCTGTGGGCATATCTGCATTTAACATATGACAAATAACATTATATACAAACTTCACCTGCAATTTTAAATAGAGCTTGATGCTGGCATGATGCTATTTTGAAAGACATTTACTTCCACTTTCAAAAGCAAACATATAAAACAATAAAAAGAATGATACGTAAAATAACAGGAACATATTTTATTTGCCACGCTTTGCATTAATCAGGCAAGCAATACTTCTACTTTGCTGCTTTCCTTGACATGAATGCAAAAGTAGACTTCTAACCAAGATGACTTAAGGATATGAGACAAATGAAGTACAGGTAAAGGTACAGAAGATTTTTTTTTAAAAACGCCTGTGTTGATAATTCTAATTTAAAGTGTTTACACATAGCTAGATGTTCAATCTTTGCACACTCAAAAGTATCAAAACACTTGAACAAGTTTAACATGGTTAGAAAAGACTTACTTTTATTGTAGCAGGTTGCTAGCACACCTTTATCTGCAGGACTGGTACTAATGTGCCAAATTTCACCCACTTGATGAAGGAGAACGTTTTTGTTTATAATGTTATTTTCATCATCAAAATCTATGATATGAATCTGCAAGTACAACAAAAGAGAACATTAGGATTTCAAATGTTTTCCTGTGGGTCTTAATTATACACAATGACTGCACAAAACAATTTAATGAGATTTTTATAACCGATATCTACTTTAATTAATTGTTATAGTAACAATTTATTATATCATTGATTTCATACAGGATATATTTTTCTAGAAAAGCACAAGTAATTTCCCTGTTTTGAGAAAATATTATGTTTATTCTTCTCAATTTTCCAACTTAAAGCTTCAAGGTGATTTTTCATTTTATGGCTCATAGTAAATAAGCCACTCATTATTATTGCTATAGGAAGTGTTGAATAGCAATAAACAGAAACAACATTACAATCCTTATGTCTGCACCAATTCTGTATCTGAATCATCAAATTCAAACATCCCATGAAGACAGAAGGGGAGACAGGCAAAGGAATCATTTGAAACAATTACTGTAAGCTCCGTAAAACTTTGAGAGTTCACTTCAGCAATCACATGTCTGTACCAATATAAAAATTTATAATACTTTTTATACTACATGGAAAAATAAAATGTTGAACTGAAAGAGGAAGAAAAAAATAATGTTTAAATATATAGATAAGATTTTTTAAAGACATACATCTAGGTTTGCTCTGATTTTGATTTTTGTTTGTTTTTAAAGAGGTCTACGTTAGTCTCATTTTTCCTCACTATTTTTAGTTAGTTGTTTTTCTATAGTTGCCTCAGAAACAGAAGAAATTGAGAAAGATCCTAGCCTGGCACAACATACACAAGTAACTTTACTCATGGGACTAACTCCACTAAGCTCAACAGTGAGTAAATAAATACTAGAAGACTCACAATTTTCAGAGAACTTTATCCTCATTAAAAATTCATTAACAAAGCTGGGTGAACAATGAAGAGAAAAAAAACAAGAGACATCCTATAATAATGACTGAATTAAGTCTACTGAATTAACTACTGAATCACTACAAAAATCTTAGCTACACAGTATTACAGAAGTTTTTTTTAAATTACAGCAGATACATAGGTCTCGACTTAGTCTAAATTGGTAATATTACACACTTTTTTTTTTTTCAAGGGCTGAGTTTACATGCTACTCTGTTCCTTCTCATACAAATGCTGTCATCAGCAACTTGTCCTTGAAATATAATGCTGGACCCTCATCACCTGTATGATTCTTTTGTTCTGTCAACCAAGGCATACAAACACTTCTGCAGTTGATTAGCAAGTTCTCATTTCAGACTTAAATGCTTCTATA